ACTGTGGAAATCCTTGATTCAGGGGCGGTGGCGGCCGGGTGGACTCGAGTAGCTGACATGCACAGAGAACGCTTTGGTGGTAGGCTTTTTGTTCACATACATTCTTTGTTTGTCGTTGGAGGTCTGCGCAGTGAGGCTACCGTCGAGCGTTACGATCCCGAACGTGATCGGTGGGTCCTTTTACCAGATCAGACCAAAACATGTCGCTGGAGCTTCGGTGCCACCCTGATACCCCGAAAACTTCTGCATCTGTGTTTTGTCAAGCGAAACTGGTGGAAATAAATTAGTTATCACCCAACTTTGATTAACCGCAAGTTAACGTTCGAAATATGCGAAAAAATTAAAATTACCGTTTGCAACACTCCGACACGACCTCGGATTGAAACTGAGATAAGATGTATTGCTTTTATATTGATTGCTTTATTGAGCCTCTAATAAAGACAAAGTGGTCAGCTCAAATACAACCAACGCAGCCAAATGCTTATGGAAGTTGCCATAGCAAGCATTTGGGTTTGGGAGCACAGTCCTAACAGAAAAGGACTAAGAAGACCTAGATTTTGTTAGGCTGCTTAAGTCAGGATATAATTTTTTGCGGTGCGTCTAAAGCGATGTTTCTGTAAAAGAAATGAAAGAGCGAGTTCCAAAAAGCAGTCGAAGAGGCGGAGACATGAGTGCTGAAACAAGAGTTTTATTAGCTTGACTTTTCGGATCCCCACTCGAATTTATCATCAAAGGCAAAGTCAAATAAGCGTAGTGGGTCACATAGGCGTTGCAGTATTTTTCACATGCAGTTGCTATGTCACTGCATGCCTAACAAATTGGCTTCTCCCGAAATCATCGCAAATAGTCCCACGTAGTGCTATAATGTTTTGACTAGCCCGATGTTGCAGTATGCAATGGCTATGCGTCTACAGACCTGTCAACAGTATCGGCTTCCCCATTCTTCCAAACTCTAAACCTCAATCTCTGTCTAGTCAGACAACTAAAGCTCCACGAAAAACTATCGTCGACGCATTTTGGAGTTGTCACATTTGATAGGCCAACAATGACATAACAACTACATACTATACATACTACGCACTCTGTACGACCCACTACCCTTATCTGATATTATCTCTTGTTTCAGCGGTCGTGTCTCCTTCTTGGCTAGTGCTTTTATGCGGCTATCCCACTGTTTTTATCCGCGCGAGGGAGTGTTATATCAGTATAATAGACGCATAAAATCCAGGTAGTCAGTACATCGTTTATTGTCTGATAGATAA